TCTTGTTTACTCCCAGAACAGTTCACGTTGTACATTTTATAAGATGTAACTCATCTTCTTTCCTTTGACGTGTTGACTGCATCCTCCTCTTTTGAAGCCTGAGAAAATTTCTACTTTCCTTTTTTTGGCTCATGAATGTTGAATGCAGCATCAACACATACAAATATAGCAAGAGTACCTCATCACTCAGGATGGGAAAACGATCACAGGCCAATTTGTTGAGTCACTTCAATCTCTAAAAGTAGCCTGGGGAACCTTTCCTCTCGGCCTTGCTCCAGCTAATTTCATTTATGATGGTTCTGTTTGGTCATCTTCTGTGGACTTTTGCTGCATCACTGCCAGTGTGACCTTGGTATGATAGAGTTGGACATTCATCTACCACAAGAGGGCAGACTAACTCTGGCAAAAGGGACAGCAAAAGGAAGAAGAAGAAGAAGAAGAAGAAGAAAAAAATCTGGTCTGTCACAGTTTAAAAACTCAGATTTATTGCAGCATAAGCTTTATGCATCACACTCTTATTTCAGATATATCTGACATTATGCTTGTGTGTGTGTGTGTGCATGTGTGTAGGAGAGTGTGTGAAGGCTTGTTCCCATCACCTTGCTTTTTGCACGCATGCATGCCTCAATTAATCTCTCTCAAACTGATGTGAGCCTTACTGTGCCAAAGTTAATTTTTTGGCAGCATTTGCTATTTCCTGCACATCCAGATGGGTAATTGAACAAGGACCAAGAGTAGTGATGCCACTTATAAACTCGACCTTTCATCAGAGTTGTGTGCAGGGTAAGCCAAATGTAACACGTCTGTGAGTACCATACCACAACTTACATACTTGGAATACTGCATTCAGTTTTGGTCATTAAGATGTAAAAAAGATGTTGAGACTCTAGAAAGGGTACAGAGAAGAGCAACAAAGATGATTAGGGGACTGGAGGCTAAAACATATAAGGAACGGTTGCTGGAATTGGGTATGTCTAGTTTAATGAAGAGAAGGACGAGGGGGGACATGATAGCAGTGTTCCAATATCTCAGGGGTTGCCACAAAAAACAGGGAGTCAAGCTATTTTCCAAAGCACCTGAGGGCAGGACAAGAAGCAACAGATGGAAATTAATCAAGGAGAGAAGCAACCTAGAACTAAGGATAAATTTTCTGACAGTTAGAACAATTAATCAGTGGAACAACCTGCCTCCAGAAGCTGTGAGTGCTCCATCACTGGAAGTTTTTAAGAAGAGACTGGACAGCTATTTGTCTGAAATAGTATAGGGTTTCCTGCCTGAGCAGGGTGTTGGACTCCATTATTATTATTATTATTATCAATCATCGCACAGTCAGCCAGATGTTCAGACTGGATTTGGCATTTTGTCTACCTATCGAGTCCTTACCCAGGACCTGGGATAGGCAGAAGTAGATGTTTGATGGTATTATAGGTATCGTCGCAGGATGGAAGCAGTTCCTAATAAGGCCGCCTTTTGCAATTGACTAATAGCAAATTTGTCAATGCCAATGGTGTTCAAGTGGTGCTCCAGTTGTTTTGGGATTGCGCCCAAGGAGCCTATGACTATTGGTACTACCCTTGCTTGCTTTTGCCACAGTCTTTCTATTTCTATTTGTAGGTCTTTGTATTTTGTATCTTCTCCAGTTCTTTCTCTTCTATTCTGCTGTCTCCAGGCACTGCCACGTCCACTATCCAGACTTTTTTGTCTTTCTTATCGACAATTGTTAAGTCTGGGGTGTTATGTTGCAGGTGCTTGTCTTATTATTATTATTATTATTATTATTATTATTATTATTATTATTATTATTATTATGGATCATCGCACAGTCAGCCAGATGTTCAGACTGGATTTGGCATTTTGTCTACCTATCGAGTCCTTACCCAGGACCTGGGATAGGCAGATGTGGATGTTTGATGGTATTACAGATATCGTATAGTAAGGCTGCCTTTTGCAATTGACTAATAGCGAATTTGTCAATGCCAATGGTGTTCAAGTGGTGCTCCAGTTGTTTTGGGATTGCACCCAAGGAGCCTATCTATTGGTACTACCCTTGCTTGCTTTTGCCACAGTCTTTCTATTTCTATTTGTAGGTCTTTGTATTTTGTTATCTTCTCCAGTTCTTTCTCTCTATTCTGCTGTCTCCAGGCACTGCCACGTCCACTATCCAGACTTTTTTGTCTTTCTTATCGACAATTGTTAAGTCTGGGGTGTTATGTTGCAGGTGCTTGTCTGTTTGAATTCTGAAGTGCCAGAGCAGTTTAATTTTATCATTTTCTATGACTTTCTCTATTTTATGATCCTACCAGTTTTTGCTATTATTATTATTGATCATCGCACAGTCAGCCAGATGTTCAGACTGGATTTGGCATTTTGTCTACCTATCGAGTCCTTACCCAGGACCTGGGATAGGCAGATGTGGATGTTTGATGGTATTACAGATATCGTCGCAGGATGGAAGCAGTTCCTAGTAAGGCCGCCTTTTGCAATTGACTAATAGCGAATTTGTCAATGCCAATGGTGTTCAAGTGGTGCTCCAGTTGTTTTGGGATTGCACCCAAGGAGCCTATGACTATTGGTACTACCCTTGCTTGCTTTTGCCACAGTCTTTCTATTTCTATTTGTAGGTCTTTGTATTTTGTTATCTATATTATTATTATTATTATTGATCATCGCACAGTCAGCCAGATGTTCAGACTGGATTTGGCATTTTGTCTACCTATCGAGTCCTTACCCAGGACCTGGGATAGGCAGATGTGGATGTTTGATGGTATTACACATATCGTCGCAGGATGGAAGCAGTTCCTAGTAAGGCCGCCTTTTGCAATTGACTAATAGCGAATTTGTCAATGCCAATAGTGTTCAAGTGGTGCTCCAGTTGTTTTGGGATTGCACCCAAGGAGCCTATTACTATTGGTACTACCCTTGCTTTCTTTTGCCACAGTCTTTCTATTTCTATTTGTAGGTCTTTGTATTTTGTTGTTGTTGTTGTTGTTGTTGTTGTTATTTGCATCAGACATAGAAATGCATGTATGTAAGACTGGCATTTGTGTGATGACATCAACACATCTATGTCATCATTTTACTATCCTCTTGATGTGCTGCAGACACTGCTGCATTTCACAGCTCTACTCTTGCCTGCAATTCACTTAGAGATGTAAACAATGTGATAGTGGTAGGGAAATTGTACTTCTCACAGCCCTGCCTTATGGGAAATGTCAATTGATTCCTGTCCAGTTCTTAAGAAAAACAATCCTGTGGTAGTGATGTTTTCTTAGGAGCTATTGAAGAAGGTTGGGCTGAAAGAGAGGGAGACTGGCCCAAGATCACTCAAATGGCTTTCTAGCAGGACTAGAATTCACAGTCTTCTGGCTGCTAGCTTGATGCCTTAACCAGTACTAGACCAAACTGGCTCTTTCCAGTAACTCTGGCAAATACTGTACATCAGAAAACAATGAACTGATAATATCTCCAATTAAATATTATTTAAATTATCATTAGCTACTAACATTAGAAGTGGAATTAAAGTAAGAATTGATGACTCCATACCACAAAGATTTCCAAATCTAAATACTCTACAAGAAAGCCAGATATTTAGACTTTCCGGAATATTAAAATTGTGGAGGCCATCTGAATTTTGGAGAATAGCATGTTCCAGAAAGATGTATCACTCTTAAAAGAAGCCTGCTTGGAGATCCAGACTCTTAACTTTTCCAGAAGGGAACCCCACATCAAGTCTTCTTGAGCTGACTGAACAGGATAGGCAGATTCTCTTCAGAAGAGATGTTCCTCTAAACATTGTAGCCTGAATCCAAGAAATTTAAGACTAATCGGTTGAATGCAGGACCTGAATTGTATTCAGAAATCTATTTCCAGCCTGTTCGGTATGCACAGTGTAACTGGAGGGGTTCTCAATGATAACCACATATTTGAAGAGTATTTGAAGAGGGTAGTCAAAAAAGTCAAGATGGTGGCCTCAGCAGTCCAATCAGAACTTCATCTGGTTTGTTTGTTTGCCATATTTCCAGACTTTTAACGTACCACAGGCTTTGTTTTTCAGCAAATTGTCAAACTGTCACATGATTCCTGATCAGAAGGAGTCCTGGGACTATGATAGACTGTGACTGCATTCGCTCAAATTGCTATACTTTAAACTTAGGACAATAAGAAAAAAAAATAGTTTCACAGAATCAATAATTTGATTCACACAATGCTCTAAAACAACAGCTAGATTTCCCACAACACACTGGACCACACATATCCAACCTCATATTAGTCCAAAGAGGTTGTTGCATGAACCCAACCTAGATGCTGTAACAGGGGGTGTCACCTGTACTCAGATTTTCTACTCGCTTGAGTAGCCTGAGAGACAGACTAAAAAAGTCAAAAGGATCATGACGTGGAATGACAGCCCGTCTGGTAAGAGAAGCCAATCAGCAAGAAAGACAAACTCCAGCAGCAGTCATTCAGAGTTGCAACAAGCAGACTCCTCTGCAATCTGAAAGGCGCTTCCAGGTAGCCTTGGGTGATGTCATTCTCGCGCAGCTAGTTCCGCCCGCCCCTACAAAGTATGAAGTTTGGGAATCTCTGATCCTGCGATTGAAAGAAGAGCTGATGGGGGAGGGTCCTGATGGAGAGCTAGTACTGGAGAGCTGGTTTTGCTTTTTTTCCTCCTCTTCCCCTGAGGGTCTAGCCTCTGACGTCATCCTAATTTCCCCCCAATAGACAATAGACCTCATTCATCCTTCCCCTCCCCCCTCCCGTCCTCTCCCCGAACTGTTCCAACATAAAGAAGCCCAGTCATCTTCTCAAAGGGCCCCTCTACTCTGTTTCCTGTGGTTGGTGAACTCGTCTGTCAATCATTTCCCCCCCCCGCCAAAGGAGTGTGCGGGTCTATCCTTTCAAGCCTCTCTTCTTGCAGTCAAGATCCCCCCTAAGAGCAGCACTGCGGCCACACCCTCTCCTCTCTGATTGGGCGTGGTGGGCGGGGTTACATCAGCCGGACCCCGCCCCCTAGCCATTGGCAGCTCAGTTGCGGCTGGGCCTTGGAGGCGTCCGGGTAGCACTCGGTGATCTGCTAAGGTACCGTAAAGCTTATTCGTTATTTTCCCCTCCTTTTTTTCTAATTTAAATTTTCTATATGGCTGATTTCCTTTGGGTTTTTTCTCCCCTTGAATCTGGCGAGTCTGGAGAAACGGCGGGAGGGGAGCCTCTGGGTCCGCAAAATCTGCCTTTACTGTATGAAAGACTAAATTGCTGATGGATTGTGCAGAGGTGTGTCCTTTTCAGTTAATTGGGGTGAGCTTAATTAAATCCCTCAGAGGGCAGAAAAGGTGGCATTTTACTTGCACTGGGTAGAGAAATCAGCACAGATGATTTTTATTGCTTCCCCTAATTAAAAAAAATCCAAATTGCTTATGGTTTTACCCATCCACCTTACCTGAAAGTGGGCTGAGTGAGAAGAGACCAGTCAGCTTGTATCCAGTCGTACTTCTGTGGCCCATGATGGTGAAACTGGGCCCCTGCTTTTCCTTGCCCTCGTTTGTCTAGTAAATGCCTAGCTTTTGTTCATCAATCTGTGCCTTTAATTCCCTTCCCTCTGTGGTTGTTTATGGCTCTGCTACCTGATTATATCCATTTCACTATTCATCTGTCAGTTTCCCCCAGCCAGATATTCTTTAAATATGTGCATCTCATCATCCTTTACTCTCCCAGCCTGGTATCCTCCAGACGTTTCATGGAAGCAGCTTCCATGTTAGCTGTAGATTATGGAAAAGCATCTGGGAGAGGAGGATATATGGTTGAGGAAGACTTCATTATGCCCTTCCTGGCTGCCAAATTTCTGCAGAGTCCTTTCTGAGCTAGCTCTCTCCTTCCTCCATCCCTGCTTAAATTTCCTTCTGAGCTTTGCTTCTTATGGATAGACATTCCTTTCTCTTCATTCAGCTAGTGACTGGTAGTATAAAAATGCCCTTGCTTTGAAGGGGTGGAAATTATTGTGCTTGCCAGAGAGAACATACCTTTATGAGGCTATGCCTTTCTTTATAAAGTTTTTTTTTTTTTGCTTCCTGAGTGGGTCATTGTGTCTAATTATGAAGCTTAATGAGAAGAGAGGTTGGCATAAAGTGAATTGGCATCACTGAAGGAGACTTCATCTAGAGGTATTTGGAAATGACAAAGGAGAATGTATTACAGCTTCTGTTACGTTATATTATCCATATTGCAGGACTTGCTAACAAGAAGAGGCTTGGCCTAGCTGTGGACACCCAAGTAACTTAAGATAGGCTTCTGGGTTCAAAGACTTTATTCTGCTATTTTCAACATCCCTCCCTTCAGTCTCATGACATTGCATGCACTGTCTACATGTAATATATCTGCCATGTTCAGGCACGTAATAAGAAGACTACCCATGGACAAGTCACCCCATGGCAGCAAAGTGTGATGGGTGCTGCACACATTCTTTGGATTTACAGTAAAGCAGTTGGGATTTCTCTGTGTTGTTCTCAAAATAATATCAGCTATTCCAGGAATGTAGTTGTATTTTTCCAGAATGAGAAAGGGGAACATTCTTAAATTGAAGTTTTGAGGTTTTCTACATGTGTCTAACCTCTAATTTAAAGCAGCTGGGAAAAAGTCTGAATTTAATTAGGCCAATTAGGTATTTTATTTGAATGTCCACCAAAATGAACAAATCAGATCCTGGAATGTTTAGCATTTGGAACTTGCTATGTCAACAGAATGGCGAATTCCAGAGGTGGGTAGCAATGTTAGTCTGTTACAAAGAAAATAACACTGGCCCTTAAAGAGAAATATTTTATATGGCATAGAGTTCTGTTATGAACTAGAGATAATTTCTGTAAATTGAAGAACAAAAGAGTGGAAACTCTTGAACTCTGTGCTGAGCCTCAAAAGGAAAAGGGATGAGAGACTATGCAAATGATTAAATTTGACAGTGCTTGGAATTTTGAAGTTTGTAATCATTAAGCACCCTCTCTAAAACTATATATTTTTTAATCATAGAAATGGTAAAGTAGAAAGTTATTAAAATTCATTTGGCAGGGTATTTTTTTATCTAAAGCTTCGTTTTCCTTTATATTTGCTATTTAGATCAGATTTAAGTGCTATTTGAGACATTTGCTGGCTGTTTCATTCCACATATTTGAAGAACTGAATATTCTATTTTTGATTGGGAATGCATGTATTTTAATGTTTCTGTGGCTGGAGATGCTAGCAATTTTTTTATGGGAAAGGTGAAAGAACCAGCCACTTTAAGAAGAAATATGCTGATTTAGGGGTTTTTTCCCTCTCTCTGGGTTAGGTAATGGTCTAGAAGAGTGATTTTTTTTCTTTTCTTTTTCTGAAGTGGGTTCTAAATAATCTGGTTGAACGTGGCACTTGAGAAGAGAGCTGGTTGATTTTCTTTGTTTCTCAAGGGTTTTTCCTTAGGCCTTGTTTATGCTGGACTTGAGCACCAAACGGTTACGTTGTAGGCAATTGATATTTATAGCAGCAACCAGCATGCCAGTGCCATGAAAGCAACCTGCTCTCTGCCCCCCCCTTCCCCCCCTTCACCCCCCCCCCCTGGATGGGACAGGGAACTTGACAGAAAACATTAGAGCCGTTGAGTCTTTGTATGAACTGCCTGGGAAAACAATTAGCAGGCTTCTGGTAACCCCTGGAGGGGGGAAGTGTAGGAGCCATGTGGGCAGGCTCAGAAGTTATATACTCTCAGACATAAACTTGACACACACACACACACACACACACTCGTAGCCAGTGACACACATTTGAGTTAGGTTTGTTATTTCAGCCTGTGACTGTGGTAGCTATAAAGATAGTGACTGTCAGCTTAGAGAGCCTTCGAGTATTCCCAAGCCCAGCCACTTACTTTCCAAAAGTTCCTTCTGTTTGTCCCCTTGCTCTAAAGCAGTTTTCCCAAACATTGTATGGACTCCTAGAACTCCATGAGATTCTGGGGTGGGGAGGTGGGGCGGAATCAATGAAAGGCTGTCAGTTTCTAATAATTTAGAATTTTATCTCTCAAGTGGGCATTGTCAAGAAACACATTTTTTTTTAAAAAGCAAACTTTCCACAGTCTGAATAAGTTTGAAACCCCCTACCTTAATGCATTCAGTGCGTATTACATTGTGTATTGCACAATCTCAAGTTCAAAGCTTACCCTCTTATCATTTTCCCCTCTTTGCTTGCTTTTTAAGAAGTCCTAAAGCCATCCTCAGCCAGCACAGGGATGGTAAATAGTGCTGCTATAGATAACATCAACCTTCCCAAGAATAAGGCAGCTTTTCTGACTTCAGATTTCTGATAGGAAGGAAGGGAGGGAGGGAGGGAAAGAACTGGTATTTGTACGGACATATATGATGGCGATGTCACTTTAAGGAAATTGAATATGTGCCGTCTCTACAGAGAATATATTGTGAGGCCTGTCTGGTTGTGGGCTGGCATGGAGGATCAAATTAGTCCCATTTTATAGGCCTGACCTTCATTCAGAAGGTTTCTAAAAGCGTTCATTGACTATTTGTAGCAGAACCATCGGCTTCACGTGAGTATACAATTGGATCTCACTGCCTTAATTGGATCTCAGTGTGTTAAAATGGTTACACCTGGGAAAGATAATCCCTCGGAGACTGACTAAATGTGTATTTTTGAAATGGGAATGTGAGTTTGCCGTTGAATTATTGAATGGAGGGTTGGTACTTTCTACGGTGACATAGTGCTGTACTATAGGAACAGAACCCTGGAATAGCTTAGTTATTCTTAGGCACACATTGTTTATCTGCCAACAAATAATTTGAAAGTGAAATAATTGTACTGCATTATGAAAATGCAGAGCTGTGCTTATTATATTTGTCTTTCATCTCTTTTTTTGCCTTCGTCTAAAAGATAAAGAAAACAAAAATAGGCTATATTAAGGTTCAAGAAAATCAGGATTGTGGCATGTGCAGTGACAGATTATTTGATGTGCTGGAGCAAAGCCTGAGGAAGGCTTAGGCTCCCTATCTCTTTCCCAGGCATCTATCATGCATCACATGCAATTATGTTTTGTCATCAGTGCTACCTTTGGACCTGGGAGAGTGATAGCTGCCATAATGATAATGGCTCTCTTGGTTGTCTTTCTTTAGCCTTAAAAGGTGTGTGTGTTTGTGTGTTGGGTTGTAGTTCAAATGGGGAACAAGTCACGAGTGCTGATACTGTAGGAGATGAGCAGGCTGAGCTGGAAGGCAGAGTTAAATGTGTCATCTGTTTGGAGTCATTGTGCAGCCACAAGAGACCCAAGTCTAGTCCCTTGTGAATTCTGTTGACCCTTATCTAGTGTCAATTTAGCTTTGACTATTAGTTGACCGGATTCTTGTGTATAGGTAGCAATAATAAACTCTTCTATGCTTTGAACTCAACAAATGTGCCTGGTTATTTGCACCTGGCAACTGCAGTTGTTTGTGCCACTCAAATGTGGTGGGAAGAGTTGAATGCCATAAGTTCTTGCTTGCCCCGTGCCGGTTGCTTCTTGCCATGGGTAAATGGGAGGGGGAGGGAAGAGTGGTCCCTAACATTTCACAGTGTCATTGATGGCGTGTGACACCTCACCTTATTGAAGGGGAATATCACTTATTTTTCTTAATGGCAAACTTAGTCCGTCTTGCTCACCAACGGTTAAGCAAGTAACATATACAGTCCTTGGTCAATGGAAATGGATGGAGTCATACAGGGTACCTCTTGGGTTGATGGCAGTAAGATAACTGTGGAAGCCTTTGAGCTCCTGCTAAGTGAATAAAGCTACTTCATTTGGGAATGGTCTGTGTTTGGCATGAGATGTTCTGAGATTTGGTGTGTCCTCTCATTGGGGTCGAGGGGGCGATTGTTGGAAAAAGAAGTTTGGATGGATGAAAAACAGAGGAAAATCATTCTTAACCCAGATGGGCTCTAATCAAGCAAATACATTGTGCAATTCAGGCCACCGGCCTTCTAGAGGTTAAGGCAGTAGGGGAGGCAGCCTCTGCCAAAAAAATATTCCAGCCATCCCAAGGAAAAAAAAAAAACTGTGGTTATCTGAACTAACAATTATA